CGAACACAAAGACCTTTAAATGAATTATTGATTTTGTGAAGCCTAGTAGTAGGTAAAGTTAGTTTATTTTTGTTTCTTGTATTAAGTGTGTGAACATCACTGTTTTTAAGAAACAAATTAATATTTTTTCTTACAAGTAATAAATTTTCGTAAATGTATTGTGATGCGACCGTCATTATACCAAATTCTTTAAACCTATCTCTTAAGGAATCCTTAACTTTAAGATTATAAATTGATCGAATAGCTCTCTTCTGCAGCACAAAAATAGTTTGAATGTCGGCGGCGTTTCCCCACAATAAAATTCCGTACGACATTACACTATGGAAATAACTAAAGTATACTAATCTGGCCGTATCTACATCCGTTAACTGGCGTATCTTCATTACGGCATATGCTGCAGAACTAAGTCTATTTGACAATTTATCAATATGTGGGCCCCATTGAAGCTTAGAATCTAAAGTAATCCCTAAGAATACTGTGGTGTCTACAAGGCCCATATTCCTATCCTTTAATTTATCTGTAAATGGAATGCTCTGCCCGCTCACGTGTTCCCTCCCTCTTACAACCTGGGGTCCTTTAAAAGAGGCGTGAAGAAGCAACATGCTGGCCGGCAGGGTGAGGATGGCTGGTTTGGCAGGTAGAACTGCTGTATCAGCTATCTTCGCGTCTGGACTTCACCTTCACTTAACATCAGGTGGGGTGGAGTCATTTGTCGGACCTATCTATAAAAAAAAAGGTCTTTGGACGTGCCCTTGCCATATCAATTTTGTCAAGATGCAAGCCTCCTGGATATCGAAAAGAGTTAAAAAGTTAAAGCAAAAGATTCTGATTACCGATACGTTGTTGGCCCAGCCTTGCTTGATATGGGCCTCCAGGTTGAGGTAGTAGGGGCTCCTGCGGCTTATTCTTGACACGTACATCCGTACGTAGTGGAAGTACTTCGGCGACCATTTGGTCACGTTACCCCGCTCTGGCACTAGGATGAAACACTGGAGACGAATCAATCGATTTATCGTAGGCTTGTTGAAAATATATCGATGTATCGATATATCGATATTTTTTGTTCGATATATCGATATTTTTTGCCGATATATTTTGATTCGCTATATCGATACATCGATACAAAATAACCAATATCGAAATTCGTATCAAAAACGATATTTTTTTATTATTAGCGGCATATCACGATCTTACTAAATTCGTATCTGGAAAAATCGTAACTGGATCTCAGATTAATGATATTCAACATATCTATGATCTGTGCTGTATTTGGTATTGTCTATGTCATCATTCGAAAATAGGGTCTATTTTTAGGGCGATAATTTTCGTTCCATTATTATTCCGCGTGTCATATTTCGTGAGCTACTGTACGATATTTTTTGGAAAATTGGTCCGATATATCGATATATCGATGTTTTTTTCGCGATATATCGAAGCCGATATTGATATTTTTTAAAAGATCGATGTATCGATATATCGATATTTTTTTCAACTTTCGACATCCCTAATTTATCGTCAGCCTATGGATGTTCACACATTGAATGAGCTCGATGGCGCGCGGCGCGGTCGGCTGCGATATTCGAAGTTAGCAACTTTCGCAGTGGTCAGTTATTGTTAATTAAATACAAGTACAAATTTCTTGTTCTTGTTCTATTTATCTGTTTTATTGTGTGTGTACTAAATAAGTAAATAAATAAATAAAATAAATTTCAATATTATAGTGAAAGCAATAATAAATAATCTCTACAATACAAATAAATAATCAATCCGATATAAATGGATGGCCCCAGTGCTCCCTTTTAGAACTTAACAAGTAATCTCAGAATATGGCTTCTATAGCGCGCGCTTTACAAAATTTTCGGGGGACAAGAATGTCCGCATACCGTGTGCGTTGAGTCCGTGACAAGTCCTCGGCGGATATTTTTCTCATGATACGGATACAAAAGTCCTGCGCGACAAAAGTCCGTCGTCTGCGCAGGCCCTATTACTTATTTTTTCCCCTGGGTAATCTGAGACTGTTCCCATTATGATGGGTGTGATTTTGTTTTGGAAACGTGGATATTCGGCTTTAATTAAATTCGAGGGACCGACGGAAGTATCCAGAGCGTTCTACAAGGGAGCACCAGTTAATGACAACTTCATGTAAATTTAGGATAGGAAAGTCAGAGTAGGAGAGAGATGTGTAAATGTAAGAGAGGAAAGTGAAAAATAGGATAGGTAGTGTTAATAAACAGTATATTGTTTGTAAAGAATCACATTTAATTTTTGAATAATACTTATATATAGGTTATGCTTTCATGACTGTACAGTGAACATATTAAAACTTGAAAGGGCTACAACTCGTTATGTGGGACCAATTTTTTCACACATACTCACGGTTGTGGACTTGTTGCATTTATATTCTTTGCCTTTTAAGACTCCGATTTTTTTTAAAGAAACTGATTTTTTTTAATACTTACGTTAATTAAAGTGAAAGTGGCTAGCAAGAATACTTTAGCGACCATTTCAGTTGTACGTTCCAAACACAATACAAAAAGTAGTATTGCATATTGTAACTTCATAGCCTTAATTTAGTAAACGGAAGAATAATTGAAAATAGTAAAACACCGGATGATGGCACGCTACCCTTCATTATTATAATAACTGCCACCGACTTTTCACTATGATAAGATCAGGAGGTCTACTCTATTTCGACGAAAAACGAAATTTTGATCGAAATTTCGCATAATTCGTACTGAATTTCCTTTTCATTTTGAACATTCGTTCGTCCGAAAATAGTTTGACAATTAATTTCTCCAAGCCTACTCTAATTCACAAAACTTTCAAATGGAAAGTTAACGTTGACAGATAATTTTTCGAAATTTTAACCACAAATTGACGAAATGAAAAGTGTTACCTTTTCATTTTAATTTTGGGAATTTTGTTTAAATTAAGCCTAAAATGACTGCTACAGTATTTGCAATCAAGGCTGTTTAGCGTAAGGAACATTTTATAGCATGTCAAATTAACAAATACACCAAATTTTCATTAATGATTGTATTTTCAATACTTCAAAGTATTAAACGACATATTTAAGTTGACATGCAACAATGGATTGCATCGACTCTATAAATTAGTCGGCTACCACTGTCAAAGAAGATTTAAAGTCCAAGTATAACAGGTTTAATTTCCAAGTATAACAGGTAATCTAAAAAGTGGAGATTAAAAGAACTCTGAATAGCAGGATATCCACTTGCATTCATAAGGATTGCACAGCAGTCGATTTACAAGAGCGACCAAGTAATTAACTACTATTCAATCTGTACACTCCGGGACGCCAACACTGAATTTGACTTTTCTTTTGACAGTTGGTCTACCATCAAGTCAGCATTATTATGTTATTGTGAAAGTCTGACGGATCAATGGAGCAATACTGGTTGCACTGACAATTAGGATAGTGCTTGACATTATTTTTTGTTAAAACATATAATATTTATTTGAAATGCTTACCATATTTATAGTATATTATATTAATATTGACGTCTTATGATATATTATGACAATCATTTAAAATATGTGAAACTGAAAAATGTAAATGTGTGATAAATGTAATTGCTTTTTGTCGTTTTTATCACAATAAATAAATAAATAAAAAAAAAATACGTATTATAAATTCCTAAAGGAATGAACGGTAGTGGATGGCCTGCTATTCCATTACGAGAACTTTATGTGCGTGTTCGAAAATGAAATAGAGTAGAGTCACTAGCGAAATTTCGTTTAAAATTCGTTCGTTACTGAAATTTCGTTTCAGAGAAATAGAGTAGAGCTCTTGGGCTGTTCATATAAAATACATATTTTGTCCAGTATTGTTCTGATAGGTAATATCTTTAAACGTTTATTTCAACGCAACAACATAAATACCTGATTTAAAATGAGATAAGATCTTTCTGCCTGTTTAAGTCCGTTTTTGATACGAAATAAAATGCCACTTACTTACCGCGATACGCTGGGTGACATATTTCGTGTTGTTCCGGAATATCTATATGAAATTTATTATGTGTCCATATTTTTTTCACTGTATTATTGTAAAGTTTTAATTAAATGTCCGAGATGTAAAGAAATGTCCCGCGTATACGAAGTTTTGTATGAATTCCTTGATCAAATTAAATTAGAGCGCTTTAACCAAAACACAAAACAAATAGGTACAGAAGTCAGAAGGCTCGGTGATCGCGCGCAAGGATTGTCAACTTTGACTTATGCGCATAAAAGTATTGTGGTAATCCATGATAGTTGACAAAAAACTAGATACGAATGCCAATAGGCACTATGCATATAAAGTTTTTTAAATTATTGTTGTGAATGAAAAAGGGAGACGGGATTTTTTTTATAGATAGGTCCGACAAATGACTCCTCCCCACCTGACGTTAAGTGAAGGTGAAATCCAGACGTGAAGAGAGCTGATACAACAGTTCTACCTGCCACACCAGCCACCCTCACCCTGCCGGCCTGCATGTTGCTTTTTTACGCCTAAAATAATAAAATATATAATAAAACCAATTATTATTATTTGCTCCGTTTTTGGACAAAAATACTCACACTTTTGATATTATTAAGATGGAAGTCGCGGTCGTACTGGTCCTAACCGGTCCTAGAGCGATGTCTACGTGTGCGTTGTTCTAGCGCATTTTGTATGTAGAGTGACTTCTGCACCTATCTGTTTTGTGGCTACACCAAGCGGCGGGTGTAAGGCCCTGCGAACACGGCTTCAGAAAAACCATGAAAAATAAACTGCTTTGATTAATAACGACAAATACAATTTCTCTGATCTTCTTCTATCACTCCCCGTGGTAGATGTCTTCTATCACTCCCCGTGATAGATGCAATATAAGATGCATAGCGAAGTTATATCCCGATAGGCGCTAGGTCCTCTGAATCTTTCTGATATGCATATGAAAGAAAGAAAGAAAGAAAAATTATTATGCCAAATTGTACATTCACATAAAAAAAAATTACAAAATAAAATGGTGTTGCAGTGGCAAAAAAGTTTCTGGCTCAGCACATACCATGTCACAGAATGCCATGATGCTGATTTTCAGCAAAAGGCCAAGGTATACACATAATTATATAAGGTACTAGCTGACCCAACGGACTTTGTACCGCCATAAAGTAGAGGCAGGTGGTAGAAGAGGAAATTTATGGTTGTATGTACTATTTTTAATACCACATTTAAAAAAACTGTCAAAAAAAAATTAGGGGTCTTTCAATTTCCTGGGTGATATTCCTCCTAACCCATATGAGAAGACTACGTTACAATACCCAATAGTTTGAATTTTGGCGCGAAGGCGCATTGTAGGTTTCAGAACACTACGTTACAGGTGGACAACCATTATCACTTAAGGATCTTAGATTAAAATAAAAAGGGTAGATACGGTACGCTCATACTTGCATCAAACAAAAACTGATCCCACGGCAGCGCGAACGGGACGGCGAGATCCGCGTCACTGCATTACCGACCCGAACGAAACAGCACGTTAAGTTTCAACGGCAGCGCGAACGAAACGGCGAGATCCGCGTCACTGCACTACCGACCAATCACGCGACCAGTACTCCACGTCACTACCGAATAAGATTCAAAATAAACAGCAATTTTTATGAAAAAATATATTTTATACCTACTTACGAATGAAATGTGATGCTGTGGGTGTTATTTTTAGTTCTTGAGCAATTTGAGCACTTTTTAAAAACACACTTAGGCATTGTTTTATCATATAAACACAAAATATTAGCAATATTTCTATTTGGCGTTCACATGTACGTCGTTTGCATGTCAAGTTGTGACTAAAGCGATTAGGGTCGTGGACCACAATTCATGCGGATCACTTTTGTGAGGCTAGTGCCGTATCTACCCTTTTTGTTTTAATCTAAGTTAAGGATATGAAAAATAGATAGTAGCCGATTCTCAGACCCACGGAATATGCATATAAAATTTCATAAAAATCGGTCAGGCCGTTTCGGAGGAGTATGGTTACTAACATTGTGACACGAGAATTTTATATATAAGATAATATGTAGTGCGTCTTGCATATCTGACCGCCGAAGTTTTTCAAATTCCTCGCGATCTTTTTGTATTGGTAATAACAATATTAAACAAAATGAGGTAAAAAAAAAAAACAAAACAGACATGGTATTTATGTAAACTTATAATTTTTGTAAAGTTTGTAGACAAGTTTTAGAAAACCATCTCACGTTATTGACTAATGTTTATGGATTCCGTAAAAAGTGGATATTCATCATTCTGTTGTGTATTTCAGTAAAATTAACCAAATCAAAAACTCCATTTTCAAGTTGCCGCCAAAACGTTTCTCTGGACAATATGGCGTCTTACTAGTGTGTGACGTCACGCGACTGTTATTAAAACGTCAAACGATACAATGTAATGTCACTTTAACCGGAAGTTTACTTGCGTGCGAAGTCATTTTAGGCTCCGCCAATCCCCAGCGTTTTGGATCACGTGACAATAGATAAGAAAAAAAAACTATTATCTTTTAGTGGGTTTTTAGTAAAATTATGAATATTTTTTGTAAAAATAGTAAAAACCCCGGCCAATATTCATTCTAAACACAGATGCTAACACTTGGCACTTTATTTTTAATACTGTCAAATACGCTATTGCATTAAAATCCTTTGCGTAGACGGGTAAATAGAAAGAAAATATTACTAGAAAAAATTCCATGCGGACCAGGGGGCCAATCGCCTAACGGAAATGCTTTGGAAAACGCTAACGCTTACGATTTTATTTTGTTATTTCTAGCCGCCTGAGGTATTCAAATGCCTCGCGCTCTTTCTTTTTCTTTTGCATTGGTAATAACAATATTAAAAAAAATGAGCGTGAGGTATTCGAAAACCTCAGGCGGCTAGAAATAACAATATAAAATCGTAAGCGTTAGCGTTTGCCAAAGCATTTCCGTTAGGCGATTGGCCCCCAGGAAGCGGACGGGACTCGAACCGCACCCTTTGCTATCCGGGCGAATTCATTGACCATTAAAAGCTACCGCGGCCCTGATGGCCGTGTCGGACTCTTTCTAGTCTTTCTGAAGCTGCAAGGCAGCGCCATCTCTACGCATTGTAGGTAACGCACAATGTCATATGCTTAATTTAAAAGTTAACTAAACTTGTTGTTTTAAAATTTCAAGTTGAACATTTGACCGTTTCACTTAACTGAGATCGGTCGCGCTCACAATCGTCAAAATTTCTTATAAGGCGGATATTAATTTAAATGATTCAGCGCCCATTATTGGTGTCCCATTATTTATCTGATATGACTTTTGTTGTATAAAGAGGTATCATTTTAATCCAAACTGAATTTAAGTCATGTTACAAATGTTTGTTTTATCTGCATAATGGTAGCCATACACACTACGAGAAATCGTTACGATTAGACTGTACCGTCCGAACGGTACCGATAAATCGTAGCGTGTATCTTATAAAACTGCACAGTTTCCTATACGTACGCCACGTACGATAAACTGTTCCGTTCGAACTGTACAGTCTGATCGTAACGATTTCTCGAATGACGACGACCTCCGTGGCCGAGTGGTTTGTACGCCGCGTTTCCTGGTGTCGCCGACTCGAGAGGTCCCGGGTTCGAATCCCGGTGGGGGCAGATGTTTGTGTGATGAATACGAGCATTTGTACTCCAGTCATGGATGTTTAATATGTATTTCTATATAACTATACTTATATATGTACAATATACGTATTCTATCCGTTACCCTAGTATCCCATAACACAAGCCTTACAGTGCTTACTTCGGGGCTAGGCTAATTGGTGTGAGTGTTGGTAATATTTATTTATTTATTTAATGTTATTGCCCCTGTCATTAAGCATATGATGGTTTTAGATGATGTGTAAATCATGTGATTTCACTTTTAAATTAAAAATAATCAGAAATCAGAAAATAACAAACTCGTTAGACCTATGCAGCTCAGTAGTGATAAAAATCTAAAGACCACTTCTATTCAAGAAAGTGCACGATCTTTCAACGATAACTGATTCATAAAGTGAAGTGAAAGACTACATTGCTACGTCACATTTAAATGTTAAGTAAAGGACACCGGCATTTTGTGCCAAAGTTGTATACTTTTTAATTTTTTTATCTGTGTTTCATAATTGGGTAACGTAGTCTGGCAATATTTGTCATCAGCAGCTAGCTGTCCATGTCAAATAGGTACGTAGGTTTGTCATCAAAAGGGTTTCTATATCAAAAAATATTAATCATTAAATAACTTCTTTCCACGATTCACTAAAAATAAGGCAAAAGTAGTTTTATGTAGCAAATAATTTTGGCTTTATTTTGAGACCAAATTCAACTGTATACAAATTAGCATTCTTTCTATGAAAAGTGCCGAGTCTCCTTTCTTTGGATTTAAACACAAGCCGCCTTCAGGTTTAACTTGAGTCTACGTTATGTACACTGAAAACTGATACTGTTACTTTTGTTTTCTAAAACGAGGACAGAGACAATATTAGATTTAAACCAAGTCTAACTTTAGTCCGCGTTTTAGAATGAGGGGCTAGTAGTCAAATACTTTAAAAAAATTAAAAATACACTAACGTCACAATTGCTTGTCAACAGAGCATTCTCGGCGAGTTCAATCGGGAGCAGGACGCGTTCATCAAAGGGCAAGAGGGAAAGGGGGGCGCCGCAGTAGCCCCCTGGGTCGGCGCCCCCAACGAGCCTGCCTTGAAGGAGGAATGCCTGTCTCTGTCTACTGTAAGTGTGGATTTTTCTTTTTGTTCACATTCACCCCAAGGTTATTGTCCATGACTCCGAAAACCTGCTTAAACGACTGGAATAGCATTACCCGAAGTCCTTGGCTCTCACCGTCCTACATGCATACAGACAAGCACACACACACACATACACACACTTTATTACTTTATAACGTAGTTAAAAAGTTAGTTTCTGTATTCTGTAATTTTAGTTTTCATCTGTTGCAATATTCTTTTTTACATTCATTGGGTGCCCACGATACAGGACCTCCTAGTGTGGGACCCATGGTTAGTTAGTTAGTTCTTCAGGGCGGTTTCCGCACTTATTCCTAATTATTGGACCATTGTGCGTGTCTCAAAAACATTCCCGTTTACTCCAGCCAGCCTATATCGGTCTAGAAGGAAAGCAACCTTGGTAGACTGCTGCAAGCTTCCGGAAACGATTCTGGTGACTGGAGAAGTCGTACCCGTTGGTCGGCCACACTCCTGCATTCCATGATGACATGCTGTGGCGTTTCTTCTGCCTCCATGCATCCTCTGCATAGGGGGCTGTCCGTTACTCCTATTGTATATAGGTGTTTGTTTAGGGGACAATGACCAGTCAGGGATCCTATAATCCTGCGAAGTTTGTCCCTATTTAGTCTGGTAAGGGTGCGAGCAAAACTTTTATTTGCCGCCGGAACCGCGTTTTTCGTTTGCCGGCATCCTTCACCTGTTTCCCACTCCGTCAAGTGTGATTTTTGAGTTATTTCACGCAGCCACGTTTTAATTTGGGCCTGAGGTATGGGCAGCAAAGGTTCTGGACCATACACTTTTGTGTCTGCTCCCCTCTTGGCCAGCTCGTCCGCTGCGTCATTTCCGATTGAGCTGCTGTGTCCTTTTATCCATTGCAGAGTTACCGTGTTGCTAACCGCAATGGATTGAAGTGCCTTATGGCACTCCATTACTAGGACAGAGTTTATTGTGTTGCTACGTAGGGCTTGAAGCACGGATGCACTGTCAGAGATGATCTTGATGTTATACTCTCTGATATCTCTGGCTGCAACCGCCTGTGCCGCTCTGGTAATGCCAATACATTCCGCCTGGAAGATTGTGCTTTGTTTGCCTAAGGTTGTAGATATTTTTATATTCAGGTCGTTTGAGAAGACACCGGCTCCAGTACCACTGTTGGTTTTGGAGCCATCCGTGTATATCCTAACTTCCCCGGCGCCAGAATAATCTGCCTTTTCCGCGGTAAGTTGGATGTTGTATCTTCGATCAAAGACGTGTTGACTCAATACTCTATCCATAGGTGCCTCCAGGACTGGAATCTCCTTCGTGCACTTTTATAGAATATTGGAGTGTGTTGTTCCTGTATGATCAGTACCTTTGTGCTAAACAAAGGATTTTTCGAATTCGATTAGTTGAATTTGATCTGGGCACTGGTCAATTCTCAATCTCATTAGAGGAGCTCGATGGCGCAGTTGGTTAGCGCAGTCGGCTGGCGATCGTGAAAGTTAAACAACTTTCGCAATGGTCGGTCATCATCATCATCATCATACGACGCTCACTGCTGAGCATAGGCCTCCCCCAAGGATTTCCACATCGATCGGTCCTGTGTTACGCGCCGATGGATATCGGCTTCCAGCGATCTTCAACAGATCTTCGCTCGACCTGGTGGGGGTCTTCCCACCGAGCATCGTCCGGTGTATGGTCGCCATGCGAGAACCTTTCCGCCCCACCGGTCATCGGTTCTCCTCGCTATGTGTCCCGCCCACTGTAGGCTTGTTGAAAATATATCGATGTATCGATAAATCGATATTTTTTGTTCGATATATCGATATTTTTTTGCCGATATATTTTGATTCGATATATCGATACATCGATACAAAATAACCAATATCGAAATTCGTATCAAAAACGATATTTTTTTAATTATTAGCGGCATATCACGATTTAACTTAATTCGTATCTGGAAAAATCGGTACTGGATCTCAGATTAATGATATTCAACATATCTATGATCTGTGCTGTATTTAGTATTGTCTATGTCATCATTCGAAAATAGGGTCTATTTTTAGGGCGATAATTTTCGTTCCATTATTATTCCGCGTGTCATATTTCGTGAGCTACTGTACGATATTTTTTGGAAATTGGTCCGATATATCGATATATCGATGTTTTTTTCGCGATATATCGAAGCCGATATTGATATTTTTTAAAAGATCGATGTATCGATATATCGATATTTTTTTCAACTTTCGACATCCCTAGCCCACTGCCACTTCAGCTGAGCAATCCTTCGAGCGATGTCGGTCACACTAGTTCTCCTGCGGATTTCCTCATTTCTGATTTATTACGCAGGGAGATACCAGGGATTTGAAAAAAATATTTTTGTATTGGACAGTGCATTTATTGAGAAAGGCTATAGGCTATATATTACCAGGCTACGACTAGTAGCAGAGGAGAATCGATGAAAAGTTTGCGAAAACGGATAAATATATTCCATTCGTGAGATTCAGTTGCGTGCACTGGGTACCGGTTAAAGTTACACAAAAATCATGTATGACGGAATTCTTCCCAATCCATATGTTAATTTTTCTTCAAATTAACGCGGGTGAAACCGCAGGGGACCTCTAGTTGTTACATAAATGTAATAGTTAAACATACCATGAACTTTTTTGTAGATATTGGTATCCTCTATAAGACTTTATTACATCACTTTGCTCTATTGTCAATGACTTCTGCAGCGTTCGCAATATAAGGCTAACTTTTTTGAAAATTCTCTATCTTTATATATATAATTGTTCTGTGAGTGTGTATGTCACTGAACTTCTCTTAAACGACTGGACCGATTTTGATGAAATTTTTTGTGTGTGTTCAAGGGGATCTGAGAATGGTTTAGATTCACAATTTTGTCCGCTGGACAATGTTTTTTACAGGACAACGTCTGTCGGGTCCGCTAGTAGCCTATATTAATCATTGATAATGCAGCATTCAAATGGTGAAAGAATTTTTAAAATCGGTCCAGTATTTTTTGAGCCCATTCGTTACAAACACACTTACAATCAAATCTTTCCTCTTTATAATATTAGTATAGATATCATAGGCCTTATTGCTAAACAGCAATCTCTTGCAGGCAACATATGGTGGAAACAGAACTATTTTTGTAACGCAGCAGTGAACATTTCCAGGATCGGCGGAACTTCGTACGCGCCCCTCCTGCCGGCGTGGAGTTTGACTTAGACTACGACAAGATGTACCCCGTGGCCGTCGCCATCGTGGCCGAGGACCCCAACCTCGAGAAGATGCGCTTCGACCTCGTGCCAAAAGTGTAAGTTTAATTGTAGTATTTGATAACTCGGTGATCAGGAGCTTTACTCTCTTTCTCCGAAACGAAATTTCGGTAACGAACGAATTTTAAACGAAATTTCGCCATTGACTCTACTCTATTTCATTTTCGAACAGGCACATTAACTTCGGAACCACAAACAGTTTTCGTGAACGAATGGAATGAGTCATGTTTGTGAATTCTTTTTATCTCTACTTTTAAGAAAACGTTTTTTTACTTGGAAACAATATAAGTAGTTTAGGGCAAATTTTTTGATGACATTGAAAGAACCTTCTTTGACTGTGTTAGCCGACTTAATTGTAGAGTTGACACAATCTACAGTATGTTAACCTAAATTTGTCGTTTAATACTTTGAAGTATAAATTACAATAAATAATAAAAAGATGGTTTATTTGTTAATTTTACATGCTAAAAATGTTTCTCGAGCTAAGCAACTATTATTAAAAATACTCTTGCAAGTATTTTAGGCTTAATTAAAACAAAAATCTTAAAACGAAAATGAAAAGGTAACACTTTTCATTTCGTCAATTTGTGGTTAAAATTTCGAACAATTATCTGCCAAATTCAACTTTTCTTTCGAAAGTTTTGTGAATTAGAGTAGGCTTGGAGAATTTAATTGTCAAACTATTTCGGACGAACGAATTTTCGAAATGAAAAGAAAACAGAGTAAGGAACGTGCGAAATTTCGATCGAAATTTCGTTTTCCGTTGAAGTAGAGTAGGCCTCCTGTTACTTCGTGATTATGGCACTTGCAGCAGTGTCAAAATATCTGTAACATAAACTCCCTTAACACGAGGTACATGGTAGCAATCCCGTAAAAGTTATAATATCTTTATTCAAATTGGATGCACGATACAATTCTTTTGAAACGTCCATATTTTTCTCCCTACCACCAGTAAAGGACGTTTTTTTAGCTGTAGAGAAAAACTGGCGAAAAAATCTTCACAGCATTAAATAATTATGGAACAATATTTACAAAATATTATATTGTTACGGTGCAGTACAAAACCATTTCATCTTCATCATAATTATAGAAAAAGCCTGCCGAAAAGAAATAATAAGTTAAGATAAAAATCCTAAATGCATTCGAAACCAGAGTCGAAACCTATGTATTGCTTATAATTTTTATGTGGCTATTTACCTGCATCGATATATATCGTGAATGATTGTATGTTTGGTTTTATAAAATCTATATTTGTTTTATCAAATTGCTATTTTATCAGCAGATGCACTTAATCAAATCTGGTTAAAAGTTTTCCAGTGATAAAAATATCATTAATTCATTTCATTCACTTTTCGTCACATCACTATGAAGTTCTACTTATTATATTTGTCATTCATTCGTCATTCCGCGCCTTTTCTATTAATTGAATTTTATACCAAAATGCTTTTTAGTAATTAAAAAATGTTGTATATAATAGGAAACACGATGTTTCAGCAAGATTAAAATGGCAGATCGGTTTTTGCATGAGAAAAACAACACCATTTTTCATTATTGTGAGAGCTCCGACTTGCGACTCGGAACGATCCAAAATGGCAGCGGTCGCGCGTGAACTAGTGTTTATAAACGCACTAGATCAATGGTCTTGTACCTTGTGACAAAGGCGTCTCCCGTTGTAGATACTTAGAGTATCTACACGTGCTGTTTAACTCGTTCTATTTGATGTCACTCAACTTCAACATTGTCTCGTTTGCAGCATCACGGAAGAGAACTTCTGGAGGAACTATTTCTACCGTCTGTCGCTGATCTGCCAGGCCAACGAGGCCGACGCCGCCGCCAGCCGCCAGGCCAGCGCCGACGACTCGCAGGGTATGCTATCACTATTAATCAATCAATCAATCAATCATACACTTTGTTTGTGATACACGACTTAAAGAGTAAATACCTCAGTGCCTTAAGACGAAAGTCTTTAACCAGTGTGTGTTGCCAGTGATGACCTATGGCAGTGAGGCGTGGTCGTTTACTATGTTTCATAGGACGGCTCAAGGTCGCTCAGCGGGCAATGGAGAGAGCTATGCTTGGTGTTTCCCTGCGTGATCGAGTCAGAAATGACGAGATCCGTAGGAGAACTAAAGTCACCGACATAGCTCGAAGAATAGCCCAGCTGAAGTGGCAGTGGGCGGGACACATAGCGAGGAGAACCGATGGCCGTTGGGGCCGAAAGGTTCTCGAATGGCGACCGCGTGCCGGACGACGCTCAGTGGGAAGACCCGCTACAAGGTGGACCGACGATCTGGTGAAGGTGGCGGGAAAACGCTGGATGCGGCCAGCGCAGGACCGATCGTTGTGGAGATCCTTGGGGGAGGCCTATGTCCATCAGTGGGCGTCATACGGCTGATATGATGATGATGATGACTTAAAGAGTTACATAACATAATAGAGGGTGTTAAATTGTGCAACCGTGATCAGCCCTTCGAGATCATTTGGCATACAAATATAATTTCTGCAGAACAATTGAATATATTATGTCCATTTAGCCACTATGTCATCATCATAGTCATCAAACAACGGATTAGAAATTATATGGAAGCATTGCCCTCCAACAATGTCCGCTAAAACATGCTTTCAAAGTTATAAAACTAAATTAGATTATAGTGCGATAAGGATTTTCATGAATGCTACACGCCGCCCTCTTTGTTAAGAGCGTTTTCAAATGATTCGTCTTTGATTTTTATCACTAAAGAATTTATTTTCATACATAAAATATAATTTTACTCATTCTATGCTTTTATGTCTTCCATTTTTTCAATAACTTGTGTTTCAAAGAAACTAGAAGCCCTCGAAATTGGCGAAAAATAAACAAATTTTTATCACCACTAAAGACGTTTAGTTTGGAGATTTAATACGCATTTACAAATAAATTAAAACGTAGAGGCATAGAATAACTACTTATTATTGTTCGTGTAAAATTTCTCTTACATATATCTAATTTTGGAGGAGGAATTCGTCGAGAGTCAAACCTCCAATTTTGATATTTTTATACGCAGTTTTCAGCTATCACACGGTATTTGCCAATGCGTGACAGCAATATGTTTTTTCAAATACATATTTCTCGAATGTCTTTCAGCTCGCATCCGCTCTTAACGTCATATTTTGTATGTCATTTACGTAGACAGCTGCCCTCTTCCTGTACTGTCACTCACATCCATAAACATCTTTGTCGCACTGTGCTAACGGGACACGTGAACAGATAAAAAGTACTTTGACAAATCAGATACTTGCAAAGGAATTCGGCTATCTATTCTTTGGATAAGATAATTTAAACGGGTATCCCGACCGCTCCCGTATGCGGCGTGGTGATCGCAGTTTTTCGGCCCACCCACTTGATCTCAGTTTGCGTGGAGCCAATTATTTCTAATTCGTTGTCATCAGCCTATTAATATCCCCACTGTTGCACACGCCTTCCCTATGAATGGAATAGAGAGTAGGGGCCGTGTCCCACCACGCGGGTACTATCAGTGGGTGCTTACGACTGGAGATGCAGCCGGGGCCGACGGCTTAACGTGCCGCAGCACGGAGGAGGGATATATAACAAATTTTTGGTCACCCATCCAATGACCGACTATTGCGAAAGTTGCTTATCTTCCAATATCGCAGGTCGAAAGCGCTAACCATCTACGCCATCGAGCTCCTTGAGCCATCACCAATAACATCACACTCCATTTACCGTCCGCTATCCTTGTACATCCGCCCAGATAGCGTTGGGTTTTTTTTTTGTAATATTTTATTTAAATTTTAAACATGCAGCAATTAAATGCTTAATATATATACTAAAACTATATGTGTACCAAAGTTCATCCGAATCCGTTCAACCGTTTTTGCGTGATTGAGTTACAAACATACAAACTTTCATATTTCTAATATTAATAGAATTATTTTGACATGTCTCTGAATATTTATCAGATACTATGCAAAAGACACAATCACCTAGACCACATCATAACGTTATGTTTATTTATCAACCATAAATAATAAGCAAAGGAAATATCCTGTGCCAATAATATAATTACTAACATTTTCAATTTAAAAAGTAGTCGGTACCATACTGCTTACGATTAATATAATACTTAGAAAACGATGTTTAATTTATCTTATCACTTTAGATATCATTTTCAATGCTTCATCACATATGATTCCCTCAAAAACATCATCTATGTACATAAGACTTACTTAAAGTATTAACTAAACCCATTATTTGAAGGCTACTCCGACCGCATATATTTTTTTCATTACTTTATGTTTTTTTCTCAGAACAAAAACTAAAGCGTAAAAGTAATGCTTTGACGTTTGAGCGTACACTCCCATAGATAATAGATGAAGGAAAAGATTTCCAAAGTGTTACCCAACCAAAAAGTATTAGTGGCGTCTTGGCAGGTTACTTTTGACATTAGATCGCATTTTGATTCGGTATCGTCAACCAAGATATTAAATATCCTAGATACACCACGTGCGCTCATAATGTGTCCCAATCAAGAAGTGCTTGGACAAGACTCAAACACATCTTGGTCCGCAGTCACGCGCGAACCATTGAAAAGGCAAGATGCCGCAGAGCTCCATGAAAACATGCGAAATAAATACTTATAGTACGTAAAGTGTTGTTTTTTTCGATAGGTATCTAAACAATGTTTGTTAATTAAACGCATTTGAAGCATATTTTGTTCTAATATTCACTATCAACTGATTTAATAGAAAATATGTGATATTTAAATGTATAGTCGGTAATATAGCCGTCTCTTTTTCTCGCGGTCCGTACCTGCTATATTGCTAACAGCGCATTCAGAATTACGCGTAGAGTCAAAGAAATAAGGTTTATATTCTTCCGCATACAGCAATAAGTCGTAAAATTTTACGAGCTTGAATTTCGAACTGTCATAACTATTTGACGCATGCGTTTGAATTAAGGCCTTATAAAGTATGCATGTGTGACTTGCAATTTTAAAATAATGCCTTATATTGTTTTTGAGCTCTCTTTCGTCCAATGTACCTTTTCGATAGGTTTCGGCCACGATTTTGTTTGTGATGTTGTATCTAGGGTATTTCATATCGTTGATCGTCAAGGTAACTAAGGTATAACTAGGTATCCAATTTAAAGTGTGTATAGTGGTAAGCACGCTGTTCATAGTATGGTTCATAGCAACATATATTTATCCCTTTTCTAACGATAGGAATCAAATTTGTGAGTTGGCTAAAAAAAATCTATGCTTTAGTTCTTGTACTGGGATTTTTTCCATTTTGATTTTGTTTATTTTTCATTATTGTACCAGATGATAGGTCGACAAGTGACAGGGTGAACGCAAATGAGAAATCCTGTCAGGAGTCGATTGACGACGCCAAGAGCCGGATTAAATCCCTTAAAGTGGATAGAGATAACGAAGACGGTAAGACTTGATGGATTCATGATAATGATAACCCACAAAAACCACACAAATCTACTTGCACTAACAAACTAAAATGGGGCGGTTTGAATTTATTTACTTACGATGACATTTTTACGTTTAGCATTTGCTTTTAGAAGTTCTACTTTGTAGAAAAAAAGACAAATTTGACTATTCAATATGAATTTGCGTTTTCATCTAATATCGTCACTTCATTAGGCTCTTGGTATTTGCTACTTGTAAACTTGCAAACAGTGTGTACTTATCATGCTTTATAAGAAATGAAAAGTACAGAATGATGTCAAGTAAACAAATAGCAAACACGAATAGCCTTGTGAATTGCCGGCATACTCTTTTATGCTATTGATTCGTTGCTTTGAAATATTAGAATGTATTAAAATTGGTGGTGGGCGTGTAATATTGGCCAATTCAAAACTATATTCAATTTTATAATTCATATTATGACGTATTGTGTAATTAGTAAGTCTTTTTAATTCAAAAGTCAGCAGTCTATACTAAAAATATCTTGAACAGTATTTCGATCAAGTCTTAGGGTCTGATCTTTTTAAGTTATTATCACACTCATAGCCATATTATTTAGTTTCTTTAATCACTTAGTTTTATTCACAGATACGACCGGTCGATAATTGAAATATCTCATAAATAAGAACCAACTTTGAGGAATGTCTAAAGTTATTTTATTTTTGCATGCACTCAATTATTTTGATGTTGAATTTCTTCATTGGCTAATCGTGATTGATATGCGATTTTTTATGCATACTAATTTATTACGACAGAATTCCATTTCATCTGAAAGCTACACATGAATCTGCTTATAATAAAAATGATTTCGGTATTGTTCTATATTTCAGTGCTGTGATCTTTGTTTTAAAAAAGTTTTTCTCCTTTTCTGGAATGCAGCTTAAACAAGATGCACCGACAGCCGATGGACAACCGCAATCACTTACTTAATACTTACTCACAAACATCGTGATACCACAGATTCATATACTATTCAATAATTTGATTGAATTCGAAATGGAACTTTAGGGCAGGATCTATCAATAAATTGAAGTTAAGACCAATGTTTTGTAATTGTATTTGGTAGTATATAAATCTGGAAAAAGTTGGAAATCTAGGCGATAAAAGCTTGCCATAATCAGGATGTGTTTATGCTATTCGAAGGCTCTGTCATGCGAAATGTTTCAACCTTGATAAAATAATGCCATCATATTCGTAGGTATTATAGGAATAGATGGAACGCACATGCATTTCGCTTTTCACCACATCGGATTAACAAAAAATATCACCAATTCGCATTATTAAATCAGATTGTAGACTTATTATCATCATAATATCTATGTCGCATGACATCATAAATAATCTTAACTCAAATTCACAATTAAACAATAATTCTGTACCATGTATATCAGTTTAAAAAAAAGTTGTATCTATCTAGATGACGTTGTTGTGTTATGTTGAAATTATTGGAGTTTGTTATGGCGTTATTTTGTCAAGTTACAGCACCATTCACTGTTATCCTTTCGCACGACTTCTAATATGATTCAATAGTTAATTCATATTAGAGTTTATTGTTGTTTGCCAATTTATTTTCGGGGCTAGTTTAAAGTTTATATTTAATATAATCTATATATCACTACAATGTCATATCTTCATCCTTGTTGTTATCTTGTGTCGTATATAAATAAATGAATGTTATGACAATATAGCTTCTCTAACCCTAAATCGAATGATATAATATAAATTGTATATATATTACGGTGTCTTTCTTTAACCTGTTGTCTACTAACAAATTGGACGGTCTGTATTTCAATAGCTCACTCACTTCATAAACCTGGTACATAACTATAAAAGATCAGGTAAATACCAACGATAGCTATTGGAGAATAGGCCTCAATATTACTGTATACTCGTCTCAAATATATACATTTTCTTAATGGAAATATTTTAATGTCTACTGAATGTTATATATGTCTAAGTATTGGTTAAGGTTACTTAACATAGAGATAACGTCACACTGTTCATTACGATTCGGCTCAGTAGTATTAACTTTAAGTATTTATTGTCAGGTTTTGACATTGCTACTCGATATTTCGGTTTTTTGTTATTTCTTTGCTTTTAATTCGGTATCGCTTCCGGTGTCTCATTTTATTTGTTTGTTGCCCTCCTTTTCACGCATGCATTTCTCAAAGTTGGTCCTTCATCTGAATTTTCTTTGTTGGTTACCATATTAACTCTCGCTCAGCGTAGCAATGTTGAAACTTCCTCTTTGTATATAATACTGTGTTGCCAGTTCTCCTGGACGCCGTTATGGACGAATCTTGAGATCACGGGTAAATTTCGTAGCCAGTAGCAACATATCATATTCGGTGACAGTCAATTAAGATAACCACACTAACTGCCGTATATTCATCCAACTAACCATTACTCTGGCAACACATCAGTATGTTATTACATTGTTTTGTAATTATTTACGATTAGATTAGTCAATATTAATCTGATGAAAGTAATCCAGTGTTATAAAGAGTTGTGTAGAGATATAGTTGGTAACAATCACATTTATATAAGTGTCGAGGACATAAACGAAGGAAGTGATAAAGTTCAGGCCTACAAATGATTTCTTTGTGGATTTGTTTTGATGTTAGCTTCTTTAAGGACGCAGCAATAATCTGTTACGTGTGTGCTATAGCCACATCGACTTTCGGGCGATGTCCTTTGTTGCTATCTAATGATTAAACTATAGGCTATAAAAGATTCTGTATCCGACTGTAATCAACTAAATAATCTGGCTAAAGTGTGTTCTATTCTTATACAGGATTGTAGTTTCTTAGACTAACTCTTCCGAACATTCTCCCGGATAATATAAAATGAATCATGGTAATATTAATGTAGTTCCTCGTTATTTAGTTTCTAAACAAGATTTCCGATTGTAATCCTAGTGACATGTTTGAATAGTTCACTTTTATTGTCATTACATGGAAAATTGTTTAGTGTATTATTACAACGTATAGTTATTAAATGAATTGGCATTTATAGTTAGTTATTATGAATTGAAATAATTATATTATTCTAAAATAATATTGGACTTATCATTTCATCTATGTGTGTGTATGCTTCAAGATCATGATATTAGAAAACTAATACAATTTGTATCTTAAAACTTAAATAAGCAGCTAAATCAACATCTAAATCATACCATTCAGCTTTAGTATGGAAACAAAACAAACACAGCTAAAAAAAATATTAAGACCAATTCAGATAGGGCGTATAATTGGCTGTTGTATTCCTTTTTCTGGTTTTTAATGGCATTGGTTTAAATAAAGAAAAATGGTGTGCACGGACCACACATCTAGAGTGAAACCTCTTTTCTTAAGCAACCTAACATTAGGTGGTGCATAAGGCATAGGGGAATGGAGCAGCACACGCATCACTCATATACAGGGTGTTACAAAAATACAAATAAAACTTGAAGGGCGTTGAAGTACATCATATAAGGAGTCTTCAATAATTTTCTTAAAATGTTTGCTTGGAGATTTATCTTTTTATAAAAATAGTTATTTTGAATGATTAATAAAAATATCGATCATTTTAAGACACGTTACTAGTTCGAGGATCATTAAAATAACTGTTTTTATAAAAAAATAAAAATTCATGCAAATATTTTAAGAAAATTAGAGAAGAATCCTTATATGATGTACTTCAACGTCCTTCAAGATTTATTTGTATTTTTGTAACATCCTGTATATATTGTCGCCGAAAAGAAGATTCACATTTCAAAAGTTGCCAGCCATAATATTTTATTATGGAACATTTAGAGTTTGATCGTTAACGGCCATAACCTTCAGAAGCCTGCGGTACTAGGGAATCATCAGACCCACCTGTCTAGATTATCCTATCTTTATATTAGTCTCTCTTTAAATTGTTTTGTTAATGACTGCGAGCGGTAATTTAAAACTTTGAGCTAAGTAATTTCGACGTAATTATTACACAACCCATGTGGGTGTCGATCCTGCTAATTAAAACTTACAATCGTGTATCAATTATGCTTCAGTGGTTTTGATTTTTGACACAGTAGTTGTTGCTTAAACATAAAATGACAAATAAAGGTAATTGTATACTTATATGTTAGGGAAAGTTTTACTAGAAAAAAAATCCACGGACCAGGCAGCGTGGATTTTTTTTCTAGTAAAACTTTTCTTTAGATTTAAACATCTAGCAGTTAAATGCTTAAAAATAAATAAAAACATACTTATATCTTATTTTTTATTTGTATGCATTTGTTGATTTAAGTTTCAGAATAGTGCGGCAAGGATCTTTATGAATGTGACGAAAATTGGAACCTACGCCGCCATCTTTGTAAACGTACACAGCAGCGCCCTCTTTAAACCGTCACTCACAGTTATAAAGATCCTTGTCGCATTGTAACAAGAACTGTGTCAAAAGAAATAGGGTATTTGACAAGGTTTAGAAAACGATCTCACGTTTAAACTAATGTTTATGGAGTCCACAAAAAGTGGATATTTTTTAATTCTGATGCGAATTTCAGTAAAAAATACTCAATTAAAAATTCAATTTTCAAGTTGGCGTAGAAAAGTTTCTGTGGACGTTATGGCATCTAACTAGTGTCTGAAGTCACATGACTGTCGTCAAACATCAAACGATACAATGTAATGTCACTTTGGCCGTAAGTTTACTAGCGTGTGACGTCATTTTAGTCTTAGCCAATCTTAAGCGTTTTCCATGGAGCAAACAAATCATTTCCATTTAATGTTTTTTTTAGAAAAGTTATAAAGTATTTTGTTCTTTCAGAATAGTCAAATCGATGTATTAATATTCATTTCAAACACAGATGCCAAAAATCGTTGGATTATTTTTCATTCTGTTAAATAGTCTATTGTGTATATTCATATCTTATTTTTATCTGTAAGAAATTGTTGTTTCATGTTTAAGAATAGTGCGGCAACGATCTTTATGAATGTAGCGAAAATTGGAACTAACGCCACCATCTTTGCAAACGTCATATTCTGTATGTCATTAACGGTCACTTACGTAGGGTGTATTCCGAAATGTACAACAGTATACCGACCAGTGGTAATGACGTCACGAATCCGACACCATATTGTACTGGTATGCATGCTACCATATTTTTACCGGGAAAACGAATATGACGTATGACCGAGCGCGCGTGAGATGCATTCAAATTTCATTTCTTTTTATTTACAGAACAATAAAGGCATCCGAATAAAAAGAATTCCTTATAATTGATGAAGTGAATATAAAATCTTTATTCGCACTATTTTTAATATTTCGTCGATTTATGAAGTCATTGCACTGGCCAATATATTTCGAAACAATTCACTAGTATAGCGTCGATCCATGACGTCAATTCACCAGTATAGCGTCGATCCATGACGTCATTAGCACTGGCCAGTATACTGGTATATATTACGGAATACACCCATAGACAACTCACATTCATAATGTTCCTTGTCGCACTGCAACAAGAACTGTGTCAAAAGCAATACAACTGAACTACTAATGAGGCATAATTTTTACTATTACTTAGCAGAATCACATCCCTCCCGTGGTTCTAGTTACTATGAGTTGAGGAGCATCTGTGCGAAAGGGGCTATTTCCATGCTAAGTAAATGTTGATAAAATTAAAAAAAACGTATGCTGATTTGATGATGTATATGTGAAGTGTATTATTTTTATTCAGGTAATTCATGAGGAGGCCACTTATTTTTAGGGTAAATTTATTTATTATTGTTATTATTAAAAAAGCACAAAATTAAGTTATTAAAAATGGAAATAGCATTTTTTGGTCTGTTAAACTGAAAATAACTTCTTTTGATCAGGAATGATAATAAATAGCATCAACAAATAAACTTTTTGAAGCTACTACGAAGCTACATTTATGCCAAAATATATAAAATAACTTGGCATTGACTACTTGTCATTACTTTTTAGCATAAAAAAACATGCAAATTTGATAGAGTTTGCCATAATGCATGTTTTTTTATCATAAAAAGTAATGACAATTAATCAATGCCAAGTTGTTTTATATATTTGGCATAAATGTAGCTACCAATTAAAAAAATAAACTCCAAAAAGTTTGATAAAAAAATATTATGTGTCAAACAAAAACTTTTAAATGCGCTTAAAATAGTACCGTTTGAATAGAACCGCGAATTTAAGTTCAAATTTGAAAGGGAAATAATCAATTTCCATCAAGACTGAACACAGGGTGTGATAGGATCTTAGAATACCAGTAGAATTCACGAAAAAAAACTATAAGTCAGGAAATACGGAAATAGCCTCCTTTGAACAGGCGCTCCTCAGTTGTTATATTAATAACTTACGTATTTACGAGCATGTCTCGATGACATCTGTAATCATAATCTCTATCCCCCTTATTAATAAACGAAGACTAAGCTTGGATTAGTTACTCTATGTTTTGTCTTTGTTCGTTGAATGACAATTGGCACTAGGGATGAAACGATACCATCTAGGTATCGATATTTTTATTCGATACTGTATCGGTCATAAATTATCGATGCCTACTCGGTATCGAATGAAAAGTATCGATACTTACTTGTATCGATAAATTTTGACAAACGATATTGCAATTACAAATTCAATTCAATTTAACGAAACCAAAATAACGGCTTACGCCACGCGATGAACGAATGACTGACTGCAAAATTGGAATAAATATAAATCATACGCAAGACTGCCAAATGAGCAGTAGAAAAGATACGTTCGCGAAACAAAAATTCCAACTAGACACCTTACCCTAGAGTAAACAATCTGCCTGTGGGTTTTTTGATACTTCTCAGTGAGTGACCGACCGAGTACCGATATAACTACTCACTTCACGATACTGCTTAATACTCAGTTCTAAAGTATCGATGCCAAAAGTACTTGGTATCGAAAGAAAAGTATCGAGTAGTTACTTGTATTTACTCGTATCGTTTCATCCCTAATTGGCACTTGAATGATATTTTTTTTATGTTATAGGGGGCATACGAGCAGACGGCTCACCTGATGGTAAGTGATCACCGTCGCCCATGGACACTTGCAACACCAGGAGTATCACAAAAGCGATGCCGGCCTTTAAGGAAGGAGTACGCTCTTTTTTTGAAGGTTTTTGGAACTATATGAACTATGAAATATGAACAAGCGGTGTAACTAGTGTTATCTTATTCGTAGTTTATTAATAAGGGAGCTTAAGACAAGTGCGACAAGCGAAGAGAGAAAAGAATGCAATTAACAACGCATTCAAAGGCAAATCACTATGCTTTACTATGTTATTGCAGAATATACAAAAATATTGTGTTTCGGTAGACTTTTATGTACACTCGAGAGCAATGAATCCGGGTCACATGAAGAATCCTAAAAATCTCGCAAACTACGAATGCTAGCTTAATTAAATAAATTGTGTTTAATAGACAATTAAATACTCCTTAAATAAAAGTAATAAAATTTGTGACTCACCTCATTTTATTTACAAAAACTACATAAAGATAAAAACTGGTTGATCTCGCCTTAATACAAAAATAGGAAACATGACATTCTTGAACAACTTGAGGTTTTCTTGAATTTTAATACTTCGAACTGCCTCCTCACCCAAATTGTCCATAAATGGACCAACGCGTTCATTTAAGATCTGTTCCACATATCTTTTGCTAGTTAAAGAGCGGTTTTCTATATATAACATTGTCGACATGGTTTATATGAATGATAAATAGCAGATTAGAAACAAAAGCAAAATCAAATACATCATAGTAATATAAGTTATTTACGGGATTGTTACCATGTATTAGCGAGTTGCAAGCGCCATGATCACGGAGTAACTGAGTTACATAGAAACTATCAGTTTCAAACTCGTTAGAAACATGGTACATGGTAACAATCCCGTAAATAACTTATATTGCTATAATGTTAGTGACCATGAAAGTTTAAAACAATAAAAACATATGCATTAATTTCATAGTTCCACCTTCGAAAGTCTCCCTTTTTTCAAATTTGATTTTTTTATGATATAGCTTTATAATAACTAAGAAGTTTTAATAATTGTTTATTAATCAGAATTTATTTTATTAAGCTAGCATTCTTAGCTGGCGAGATTTTTAGGATTCTTTAAGTGAGCCGGATTCTTTGGTCTCGAGTGTATTTTTTTCAAAGATTTTCGATTTAATAATTTCTTATGATACACTCATGTGTTTTTGTGTGTGGGCTATATCACTTCTTACATTGCGTCGCAACGGGCGGGTGTTTCAGAGCAATGGGAACGCGAGTTGGAGGCCGAACTCAACGAGTACGAGGTGGTGGCCGGACACCGCGCCGACCCCACCGACCCCGCCGACGACGATGACTGCGACCGCCTGCTCGCCGAACAACTAGATCTCAAGTAACTGACAACAATTACAATATTGTCATTAATTTACTTTATTTTTGCAAGAAAAACAGCTCCGGATAGCCAATTACACGTTCAAGGCTCACTTGCAGAAAATTTGCTAAATCATGGTTTAACTAAAACTAGCTTAATTCTATTCCAGAATAGGGTATTTGACAAGTTTTAGAAAACGATCTCACGTTATTGACTCATGTTTATGGAGTCCGTAAAATGTGGATATATTCATCATTGGATTGTGTATTTAAGTAAAAATAACCAAATCAAAAACTCCATTTTCAAGTTGCCGTGAAAACGTTTCTCTGGACAATATGGCGTCTTACTAGTATGTGACGTCCCACGACTGTTATTAAAACGTCAAACGATACAATGTAATGTCACTTTAACCGGAAGTTTACTTGCGTGTGACGTCATTTCAGACTCCGCCAATCCCAAGCGTTTTGGGTCACGTGACAATAGATAAGAAAACTATTATCTTTTTCGTTAGTTTTTAGTAAAATTATGAATATTTTTTTTGTAAAAATAGTAAAAACCTCTGCCAATATTCATTCTAAACACAGATGCTAACAATTGGCACTTTATTTTTAATACTGTCAAATACCCTATTACAAAACGTCAATGTCAGTCCAACGTGTATAAATAATCTCCTATAATGGAGCTCAGTTATGTCGATATCAATAAAGGAAATTCGAAGGACATTTAATTGAAATTTAATAGCTTCATGTAAATATGCTTTCGACGCCTAACTTAATGTATTTCAATATCTCTAAATGTCTTGTAACTTTACTCTCTATCTAAATTATAGTCAAATCAACGACGCCACACCGAGAAACTTCTATCAGTTTTGTATTTACTTATATTTCATAAAGTTCAAGATGCGTCAAAAATATTATGAGAGCAAAACAGAAGCCAAGAACGGCTCTACTGTTTGGTCATAGATATATTATTTTATAGATCGCCAATGCGAAAGAGAGAGATGCTATTTAAGTATATTAGAGCGGTATAGATATACATGACCATTCACGTACACGCTAGAGTTCTGTAGTATCCTTGCTCCCATAGTGAAAAATCATTAATATGGTTTTTTATAAGTGAATATAATATATCAATAAAGGTGATCTTATTTATTAGGACAAGTTGGGCATAGATAATAGAACTGCCGACTTTGATCATTTAGATACTATAGTTGATAGTGTATGTCAAAGGCAGAGTTGTAAAATGTATTACAACCTGTCTTATTATATATGTCTGTGGTGCAGACAGGCACACTTCAAGTTACCACAAACCGTTCTTTTTCTCAATGGATTGTAAATCTTATTTTTAGCATCATAAAGCTCAAAGTCAGTTTGAGAAAATTTACAGTTTTGGCTAGCGTGATCTGTAGCGGTCTGTACTTAAAATAGAAAAAAATACACCAATTTTATTATCTATTTATGAGCATTTAATTGTACATTATTGAAATTTGAATTTATGGTAAATGTTTTTTTTTAATTTAATTTTTTTAGATTAAAAAAGTTTTATTTTACTATGAGCGCATTATTTTAGCATTATGACTTTTTTATATGTTGCCTTAGACGTTAACAAATATATACACTATATACAGTCCCGTCCGCTGCCTGATCCGCGTGGTTTTTTTTCTAATAAACTTTTCTTTAGATTTAAACATCTCGCAGTTAAAAGCTTAAAAATAAATTTAAACATATTTAAAGGTTATTTTGTAGCTTTACATTAGATTTTGTACATTAGTTTGTTAATATATTAATTATTATGACCGACCACATGCAGACACTGAAATTTCAAATAACCAACAGAGTCGATGTTTAGCAATCGATTATGAATCTTATATCAAGGAACATCAAAGTCAATAGGGGTGATGACGGGGTACAGTAAACGAAATTCTATTTAGTCCGTCAGTTAGATGATCGAAAAATAATGGACACGTATTTTTTCTTTGGGCAATCAACCAAAAAATGAAAAAGTTATAGCGCGTCAAAGTTTGGGAGTAGGGGCTCGTGACGTCACTTTTGAGTGAATTTTCACTTATAAGTGTACTCAAACGTGACGTCATGCGACTTTTCAAATCAATATATCTCTGCAATGTTTATATTATGTGAAAAAAGAAAAAATACGTGTCCAATACTTTTTGATAATCTACCTGATAAACGAAGAGAAAAAAATAGTCATCATCCCTATTGGAGAAATTAAACAAATTTTGGTAATTTTGGATAGCCCTTTTGACGATTGAAGCTTACACTCGCACTTGAAATATAGCGCTTATAGCTACGGGATACAGGTTGTAATATAAAATCGTTTTAACGAAAGGAGAACGCTCATGGATGTATGTACAATGTTACCAACGTATAATGGTTGCATCAATACAAAAAAAATGGTTAATGATCGTTTAATATACAAATTAGCTACTTTCTTTCAAATGTTTAATACTTGAAAAAGTATTCGTTTGACATTGTGGGTTACCTACAATGCGAAGAGATGGCGCTGCCTTGCAGCTTAAGGCTAGGAAGATTTCGACGCGGCTACTAGGGCCGTGGTAGCATAATGTTCAGTGCATTCGCCCGGATTGCGAAGGGTGCGGGTTCGAGTCCCGTCCGCTGCCTGGTCCGCGTGGATTTTTTTCTAGTAAACTTTTCTTTAGATTTAAACATCTAGCAGTTAAATGCTTAAAAATAAATAAAAACATAAAATGTTATTTTAACACATTTTTTAAAGTTAGGTTTACAGCGAAATAAATAAAATGACGAGTTGACATCGCAACCATTAAGACACTAAAGACGTAAAGTCACTATTAAACAAAAATAATTAGTGCTTTTCGATGGAACATACATCGGTTACAAAAACTACAATCAATTATAATAATTAATTAGTAGGGTACTATGGCATCACTATTTTCACGATAAATAAACAAACGTCAGATATCCGGCTCGAAATATAAACAAAATAGACCAACGTATGTATAAATTTAAGAAATTATTATCATATTGTTACGTGTCGGAATGGGGTTCGAAATTATATGCCAGTTCACGCTTGGCAGTTCTTTATTCACCACTCAGTTCACACAATTAACACACAATGTTAATTACAAAACACTCACTAAACACTGTATTTCACTATACAAGTCTCTAAACAATCGCACTTGAACATTTTTGTTGCACTTTGATCGCCTTTGGATTCGCTCCGAAATCGCTGTTGAAACTCGACTGTCTCTGCGCGGTGCCAATCGTGCTTATATACGCCGATCGACGCATTCTAGAAAGTACCTGTTAAATTGAGAATTAGCTAGCACCCGCGAGTACTTATACCTACGCAGGTAACGCGCATAACTTGTTGCACTTTCTCCCTTACGCCGCACTGCATAAGGCTCATTTTAGAATGAGCCGCATTACTCGACCTCTATCGCGACCCGCACATTCTGGCACATTCGATCTCTAGCACATTCGCGGTTCTGTTTCGAGAGCGTTTGTGACAATATTATTTTTATCTTGATGCTTGGGACATAACTGTAACAAACATGGGCATTCTCTTTTGACTTAATGTTTTAAGTTTGTCATATATCTACTTATGTTAACTTAATGTTTGTGGAAACATAATTGCATTTTATTGTTTTAAAACTTTCATGGTCACTAACATTATAGTAATATAAGTTATTTACGGCATTGTTACCATGTACAATAAAAGACTTCGTCGGAGGGTAGACCGATATGTCCGCCAATAACAGCCTACCCGCAATTACTTCAGTTACTCCGTGATCATGGCGTGTGCAACAGTGCCGATATACAGGGTTACAGGGAAAGTCGTACTGAATATTGAAGGACGTTATTATTCAGGTCATTTCTGATGGATTTGATCCTATAATATGGTGTCCGAAACATAACCGTTATGGAGATATTGGATATGTAATATTTTTTTAAAATATCCTATATTTTTTGGGTTTTTGTCGATTTTTTTTGAAATTAGAGCTCCGATTTTTTAATGTATCTAGTTCCAAAGGTCCGATTTTTTAATGTATCTAGTTAGAAGACATGTCAAGCAATAAAAATAATGAATAAAAACTGAACCCACTTCTAACGGCTTAAAAAAACTGCTCGACAACGGTTGTAACTAAAGAATTTTCACCAAGTGTTCTTAACTTTGAAGCGCTATTCTAAAAAAAAATGTATGGAACTTATTCTGCAAATAATTTTAAAAACTTCTACGTCTCTTTAGCTATTCAAAGAGGTATAACACTTGCTATTAAATTGGCAAAACTTTGACCAAATAACAGTTATGGTAGCAGAGGGTACATTTTTAGTTTGAGGTAAAAATAGCAAAAATACTTAAATAAAACCAAAAAGCTTAGTAAATATTTTTAAAATTCATGTTCAACATGGCCGCCGCTATTTCTAACACAAATTCTCATTCTTTTTCTTAAATTACGTTATTATGTGTGGGGTCATATGAAAAGCCTTGTATACGACCAGATGATGCCGATCGCAAATATCGATATTTTGCGACAAAGGATTATTGATGCGGCTAAGGATATGAGGCGGAACTTAAAAACTTCTGTAGTAAAAAGTAATTTAAGAAAAAGATTGAGAATATACTGTGTTAGAAATAGCGGCGGCCACGTTGAACATGAATTATAAAAATATTTACTATGCTTTTCTGTTCTCTTATTCATTATTTTTATTGCCTGACATGTTTTCTAACTAGATACATTAAAAAATCGGACCTTTGGAGTTCTAGTTTCAAAAAAATCGACAAAAACCCAAAAAATATAGGTTTTTTTAAAAAAATCTTTAATATCCAATATCTCCATAACGGTTATGTTTCGGACACCATATTATAGGACCAAATCCATCAGAAATGACCTGAATAATAACGTTCTTCAATATTCAGTACGACTTTCCCTGTAACCCTGTATAATGTCGGAAACTCGCTAAAAACAAGGTACATGGTAACAAATCCCGTAAATAACTTATATTACTATAGTTGCATTGGTATATTGTAATGTCCTATTAAATTATTGCAATAACTCTGAAGTTTCAGTAGCTCATTATGAAGACCGAACTCGTAAAATAAATTACGCCACTAACTTTTCGATTGTATCCACGCATGTTACATTCCTGTAAAATATCGTGTGTTGAATAAATGCGTTGATCCTATGATGGTTTTTTATTGGCTCCACTCTTTCTACTCCTTATTAATGATTTGTTTCCTCTTGGGAATAGTCATTTCTCGAGGATAGTACAGTGCATGCAGGATATTACAGGCACGCAACAACTAGACATCGTGGAACATATTTCCGAATGGAGTACTAAGAACTTGGTTGAGTTCAATGCTAAGAAAACCCAGGTCTTAAAGTTAGCGATAAAAGCTTTGCTTCAGAGCAACTTCATGTAGTAAAAAAAGCAATCATTAATTTTACTAATATGTCTAAAAATATTTATAAGGCCAGCCAAAACCACTACAAGAATCTAATAAATCATTAAGAAAAATCATAAACATCGAGGAACCTAAAGTCGATCCCTGGGGTATACCGACCAGATATGGTACCGAATCATAACCATTAAGTGTTCATCATTATCAGCCTAGTAATGTCCTCAGTGCTGGGGCACAGGCCTTCCCTATGGATGGAACAGCTAAATTGGGTCGTGACAACCACGCGGGCCCAGTGTGGATTGGAAGGTGCTAATGTGGACGGGTAATAGTCGTAGCAGATTTTATCATCATCATCCTTGCCTATGGATGGAATAGGGAGATTGAGCCATGACCCACCACGCGGGCCCAGTGCGGATTGGCGGGTGTTAACGACTGCAGATGCAGCCGGGACCAACAGCTTAACGTGCCTTCCGAAGTACGGCGAAACTCGAGATAGAAGATTATTGGTCACCCATCCAATGATCGACCATTGCGAAAGTTGCTTAACTTCAACGATCGCAGTCGAAAGCGCTAACCACTTGCGCCATCGAACTTTAAAATCCCTAATAAAGATTCTGAATAAGCTTAGCTTAGCTTATTGCCAACAATTACTGATCAGTAAGCGCCAAGGGCTTACTGTTTAGACAGCCAGAATTTTTTCCTGCTCGTTGGGTGGTATTATGTAGGTTTTAGAAAAAGTACATTGAATTTTACACGCATTTCACAATAAAAGCGCTGAAACATTTAATGAATTTTAAGTTCTCAGAACACCCCATAGTTTCAGAATCTTATATAGAGGATTTATATATATCATAGGTGTAGATAAAGTCTTGTATGCAACTGTTTATCATTAGGTACACTTGTGTGAAAACCCAAATTCGAGTTTTAATACCCCTCATCTACGAGTATACTAATATTATGAAGAGGAAAGATTTGATTGTTTGTTTGTATTGAATGGACTCCGAAACTACTGGACTGAAGGATTCTTTCACATTATCAGAATCCTTTATTATCCGTGACGTATAGAGTATAGAGTATTTTCAAAAAAGTTAGGGTTCCTTAAAAAAACTTCGATAATGTAACCCAACGTGTGTAAAAAAATACCAAAAAATAGCCTTATGGTGCGTACGCTGCGGAAGTCATTGATAATAGAGCGAAGTGACGTACTGAAGTTTTATAGAGGACATCATTATCTACAAAAAAGTCCGCGATACCATATGTCTGACTGTCACAGTCATGTCACAACTAGAGGTCCCCTGCGGTTTAACCCGCGTTAATTTGAGCAAAAACGGTTGTAGTGAGTCAAACCTAAAAGATGGAAATATGCTGTCGCGGACTATTGTATAGAACTTTTAAATGGGAACAATTCTGTCATACATGATTTTTGTGTAACCTGAACCATTTACCCAGCGCACGCGACGTAAGCTCACAAATGGAATATTTTTACCCGTTTTTGCAAACATTCATCAGACTTATGAAACGCGACGCAACCCGACGCCATACGCTACGCGTGTTGAGTCAAATCAAAATGTACTAATTTCTATTTTCAGAATCACATTAGAAACACCCGACGCGACGATTAGTGCAATAATTATGAGTGATAAAAGTGATTGGTGTGTACAAACCACTGCGTAACTAGATACCTAAAATAATAAGGCGCTTTGCAGACGACGGGGCGGGGCGGGCCGGTCAATATCGCCGCGAATAATAGCACAAAGTGAATCCTATACTACAAACGCACACAGAGGGCAAAAAGACCGCGCCTTGGGTGCCCGGCGGGCACTGGCGGCGCGGCATGTCCGCGGCTGCCCGCCGTGGATCATACAAACCAGTTTATATGCAGTAACGCACACGGCGGCGCGGGGCGGCTAGCTCAGTCCGCGCCACGCGCTTTTTAGTGATGGACTATTCACTAGAACGAACGTCCTGAACTGACCGCCTCTGCCCGTCGTGTGTTTTGTGTACGCGGCGCGGGCAGCCGCAGACATCGACGGGCAGACGCGGTCTTTATTGCTTCGCGGACAAAATGACCGCCCCGCCCCGTCGTCTGCTCAACGCCTAAGAGAATGGACCAATGATAAGGCGGGGACATTTTTTTAACAGCAGTGCAATAATGCATTCTATTTAACGGGTCCTAAACTAGGCTTATTTTTTTTTACTATTAGTTAAATAAATTTTCACGCAAGGTTTATAATTATATTAAGAAAGTCATTTTGTATAATACAAGCCTGAGAACGACAACTATAGTTTGCACTACAGCTCTTCACCGAAGCGCAGCGAGGGCGGGCCACTAGTTGTATAAATAATTATATTTAGTTGATTTTTATTAAAGCAGAAATTTAAACCAATTTGTTTACCGGGCGTAATGATGGTGTTAAGTGTTGTTTTTCCATGTCACATAAGTTTTATAATATCATAATTAATTTTCCTGAATATCGAATCCATCAAGTTCCAAACGTAGCTTTTTGTAAATATGTGTTCAACTTATGTGTATATTATATTATATCTAGTTGGCATAATCGAGATAATATTCAATAAGTGGGTTCTGTTTATTATTAAACCATGTGTTAGCATAAAACCAATGGAATTTTAGAATAATCAACTTTCGATTCCATAAATCCTCTTTATTTCCATTCAATATGACCGTCCAGGTAACCTATTGCTATTAGTTCGTTTGTAGTCGTAGTGACGATGGAAGTATTCAACCGGAACTTGCGGAATGGGATGACGTGACCACGCAATGGCACAGATATGTTCAAGTAGCGGTGCACTCCCTGCGAAAAAAAAGTTTTTCTTCATCATCATATTAGTCTCAAGATAGCCACATCTGAACTCAAACTCAAACTCATTTATTCAGTCTAGGCTGTTACAAGCTCTTGTGAAAGTCAAACGCTACGCCATCGGTTCGTAAATCTACGGCGGGAGACCTTGTACTGAGAAGAACCGGCAAGAAACTCAGCAAGGGCTATTTTTTTTCTCCCTGTTTTGTTTCAAACAGTGTCGCCAATTGAAAGATGACATCAAAAATTGAAAAACATGTGTTGATGTCAACTTCCATCACATTAATATTATTAATTAACAAAAGTTAAGTTTAGCTAGGTACTACTTTTAAATTTAGAAGTGGCGATTAAACAATTTTCAACCAAATCAGCAAAGTAAAACGACTTAGTCTGTTATATTAAGCCCAAGGTGACTTATCATTTATGAAATCTTTAACAGTATGACTGAACATGGACCTCCTCCAAGGATCTACATCAGTCGGTTCTGCGTTAGTCGCATCCAGTGGCTTCCCGCGACCTTCATCAGATCATCGGTCCACCTCGTCAAAATCGATCCTAGGAACGGAGCAAGAGCTGCTATTTGTTCCAGCTCATGTCTTCGAGGTGTTGAAAAGGTCCCCATATGGATTGCATAAATGTACCTATTACTTTACAAATAGTGACTTATTGGTGTCGATTCTGGCGTGATTCTCTAAACTTAAAACTAAAATCATAATCTTTCTGTCCTTTTCATTCTGTATAGAGAATGACAAGGCTACACTGTTGTCAAATTTAAGTTTAGGTATAGAGAATTATGCTAGAATCGACACCATTATATCGTATCTTGTAAGTATCTCTATTGCATCAGTTATTTTTAACTACTGGATTAAGCTCACATTTAAATTAACGATTGGTTTATTACTAATTTAAAGTTTTATTTAACTTGCAATATATGTGTTTGTTTGTTCGGATGGAATCTTGCAACACAATTTTGAAGCAGATGTCTTCATTCGATTGAGCTGAAATTTTATGCACACGTTTACTTAGGATGGAAATGCATGGTTAGCTGTGTGACGTCATTCTAAATCCAATATAGTGGAACATACAAGATGGCAGACTAGTTAGTTTTGATGCACTCCTACAATATGGGCATCAAATGAAAGAGTGATAAGTATAACTCAAAAAATAAAGAGACGTCACTTTAAATTATAGCGGACTAAAAAGTTGGCGAGGAGCTCGATGGCGCTAGGTGGTTAGCGCGTTCGGCTGCGATCGTTGTAGTTAAGCAACTTTCGCAGTGGTCGGTCATTGGATGGGTGACCAAAAATGTCTATCTCGAGTTCCTCCGTCCTTTGAAGGGACGTTAAGCCGATGGTCCCGGTTGCATCTGCAGTGGTTAGCACCCGCCAATCCGTACTGGGTCCGCGTCATGTCCCAATGTCCCTATTCCATCCATAAGGAAGGCCTGTGCACCAGCAGTGGGGATGACGATGATGATGAAAACGTTGACAGACTAAGTTTTTTATGTTTTACTACAATATGGGTATCAAATGAAAGGGATTGCTGAGAAGAACTCAAAAAATAAAGTGACATTATCTTAAATCAAATATAAAACATAACAGACTAAGTTTTTTATGCTTTCCTACAATATGAGTATCAAATGAAAGGACTTGATGAGAATAACATTAAAATTAAAGTGACGTCACCTTAAATCGAATATCGCGTACTTTAAAAGATAGCGGCCTAAGTTTTTTATGGTTTCCTGCAATAAATACTTTAATTTTTTTAAAAAAAAGCTTGCCGCTTGCTTATAATATGAAAAATTAAAAAAAAAACAGTCTGATCAAATTTTGTTCATCTACACAGGAAAATCTATGACAAGCTTTTATATTAAATAAATTGTGTAACGACGTTATATGTTCCTAGTTAAAGATTTAAAAGAATTTTTTATTCTTTTTAACGCATTTAAATAAAAGATTGTTAAAAAAATCAAAATATTTGTTAGCCTTACTAAGTTTAAGTGCTTTTGACATGTTACCAGTATCTTGTGTATTCATCATCATCAGCCTCTTAATGTCCCCACTGCTGGGGCACAGGCCTTCTCTATGGATGGAATAGGGAGATTGGGCCACGACCCACCACGCGGGCCCAGTGCGGATTGGCGGGTGCTAACGACTGCAGATGCAGCCGGGACCAACGGCTTAACGTGCCTTCTGAAGCACGGAGGAACTCGAGATAGAAATTTTTGGTCACCCATCCAATGACCGACCACTGCGAAAGTTTCTTGACTACAACGATCGCAGCCGAACGCGCTAACCACCTGCGCCATCGAGCTCCTCTTGTGTATTCGCAGGAAGACTATTATTGACTTAAGTTATTTGACAACCAAATAGTGCAATTACCGGTGGAAGTGGACAGGTCACACCATAATTATTTAACGCTAACCCAATTAGCGGGTCTTTATTTATAAAGTCGCAAGCTCGCAAGTGTATTCGCACGAACGTCGGTCGGTATTCGTTAGATAAGTACTCGTAGAACACCATGTTTATCTAGAAAAAAGTACAGGTTGAATTATAGATACTCGTAACTAGTGACTTCACTTTGGAAATTTGGAAAAATTGGTTCACAAGAGCAAAAATTGGTTCACAAGAGCAAAAATTGGTTCACAAGAGCAAAACTTGGTTCACAAGAGCAAAAATTGGTTCACAAGAACAAAAATTGGTTCACAAGAGCAAAAATTGGTTCACAAGAGCAAAACTTGGTTCACAAGAGCAAAAATTGGTTCACAAGAGCAAAAATTGGTTCACAAGAGCAAAACATGGTTCACAAGAGCAAAAATTGGTTCACAAGAGCAAAAATTGGTTCACAAGGGCAAAAATTGGTTCACAAGAGCCGTGTTGCGTTGGCTGCCCTTAAGGTGGGCTTAGATATTTTAGGCCATCCAATCTTCAGCAGAGACCTGGCTCCCAGAGTTCAAAATTTACGGAGGACAGGTTCCCCATACACGTCGATTGGAAGATTGGGTCTATTTGAAATTGCAGTAACAGAAACATTAAAAGATATTACAAATAACTTAGTGGTGGCAAGTTCTTTGAAAAAAATATTAAGAGACCTTCATAACATTCAGAGTACTAAAGTCTTAGTCTTAATTTCGAATGTGAATATGTTTACCCAGATTGACGCGCATACAAAAATAGTATAATTATGATTTGACCAAAGCATTCATACAAAGATATGATGATATCCGTCCACATACTCCGTATGCTATAAGAATACCATAATTTTTTGATGCCAAACCATGAAAAAATGATTGTCCAAAAACTAAAAAAAATGTAGAGAAGGGACCGTCCGAATTACCTAGGGATATAAAAACAGCCTATGACTTATTCTCACACCTACCAAATTCTCAATCTATGTGTTTGTTTGTTTGTTAACACGTTCGCTGCGTAACATTTTTCAGTGTACTTTCAGCTGGTGCGTCAAGAGGTCATATTGGCACATAGAAGACTTTCCTGCAGGGCGTCGTGTGGTCTAATTAACCCTCTATCGTTTCTGTTTTAATATGGGTTTATTCAGTACCTCTATAGTTATTTTAAAATATTTTTTATATGCAGGCCAAAGACCAATATATAACTAGCTGCGTTTTTAGTTCGCTCTTTGCGTCTGTTCTACAGAAGAGAAACAATTTATGAATTCATTTTGACCACACAACGCACTGAATATAATAAAAATCTAGTGATGGGAAACGTCTGTTACTATTGAGAGTGTTATCTAACAATAACAGTGAAAAATTCCTTAATTTGAATAATAGAGAAAAATTTAAGATGGAAAGCTCTGTTATATATTTTTTAATATAAGTATATTCTACGTACTGAGATGTGAACATAATATTTATTATAAACTTAATCACTTTCTATTTACATACCGAATGTATTTGTAGAATATGTGAAAATGTTTAATGCAAATAAAACTCTTGATTATTGTAGGTTATATTAAAATGAAAATAATTATGTTTTTTCAGATATAAAATAAAGTGATTTATTTCGTGTAACAACACAACGAAAGTATGTAGTAATTATTGAAAGTTTCTTGAATCAGCATTTCAAATGTCTAGTACCTGGAAACAACACATATAAGTATGGTAGAATTAGATCGGAAAAATTTGAAGATTATCAAGTGTAATTCGTAAGAGTAGCTTTTTGAAGATTGTGTAAAGTAGTACCTCTTTTGCAGTTGTAGGTATTTAGGGATATATGCCTCTGTCAAATAAAAAAAAAAAGTTAAAATCATTAAATGAATGATAATGTTGTTGTTGTGTTAATGTTATTGTTTTTGAATGTTAAAAATCATTCTTTTTCTTATTTATATAGAGTGTCTTCATGTCTTTTGTAATTATTTGTTTTATAGAGACATAGAAAATAGTGAAAAGGTCATTATAACCTTTCAGATTGCGAAGAAAACGATCAATTTTAACTTTGTTTCAAAACTTATCAACCACAGTCATAATAAACATCATCGCAGCAATGATGTTTCAGTTGAAACAATTCAGAATTAATGCAATGTTTGAATGGGAAAAATGGGTTGCGTAAATGTAGCAGAACAAAAACTTACCAGCAGAGATCGGTTTTCCTGTAAAACTTTCTATAATGGCTTCAGTAAATTCCTTCTTTGGCATGCCTTTTTCTTTTCCCATGTTAAAAATTATCCAAGCGTTTACCATAGCAGTGCCAAATATTAGTTCCAATACAACTTTCTACATCACTAACGTCACAAAATGGCGCCCGCTCATCATCTAGTACGGGTGTGGGGTGCGGGGAGCGCTTGGTCATATTGACCACACACCGCACCAGATTTAAATATTTTTCTTTAAGTGCGGGTGAGGTCAAATTGGTTCACGAGTTTTAAAAAATGCTGAGCTGTTCACGTTCAAGTGAAAATAACAACGGTATATGTATTTCTTTTCTACGATAGCAACACACAAAGTTATGCCTTCCGCACCAGGGGAGTAAACGCTATTTTGCGGTGCGCACGGAATGAAAGTTAGCTATGAGCCAATATGACCACACAACGCAGTGAACGTGTTAAAGCAAAGGCTGAACATTCAGCCTGCGGCACGGTCTCAATCCCTGCGCGGCCAATCAGAGAACTTAGGCCAATAAAATGTCAGGAAGATAGAATATACAAAAATATGTTATATACTAGGTTGGGCAAAAATTTCTTCGCATTTTATATGAAAACTAGCTGACCCAGCGAAATTCGTACCGCCATAAAAAAATAGGGGTTGGTGGTAGAAAGTTGAAAATTTAGGGATGTATGTATTTTTGTATGATGTATCAAAAAATTTAAAAAAAAAAAGTTTTATCTAAAAATTAAAAAAAATAATTTAGGGGTGGATTACCCTTAACATTTAGGGGGATGAAAAATAGATGTTGTCCGATTCTCAGACCTACCCAATATGCACACAAAATTTCATGAGAATCGGGAAAGCCGTTTCGGAGGAGTTTAACCACAAACACCGCGACATTAGAATTTTATATATTAGATTTCAATATTTTTTAATGAAGTTTATTTTCATTTAACTAAAGAATTGAGGTGCCATTTTATTCGATAACTTTACCATCTTGTTGGTAGGGACAAGATCCCATTGTTATAGGAATTTTGGGGCTTCTGATCAAAAAACCACGACATGTAGTTTTAGCAGTGCTTTCG